GTCGATCCAAGTCCAGATGCACCCAGCAAGGCGTTGGATGTTTGGGCCCTGGGTCGAGGCAGGGAGGCTGCTGTGTGACATCCCAGGGGCGCCCAGGGGTGGTCCCCTGGCCCTTCTGCGATGGCGATGTACCGCTGGCCGCTTCTGGGTCCTTGTATGCCCTCGCAATTCTGTTTTAAGAGTGCATTGGAGTCAAGGAGCGTCTGGCAATCGGTGGGATAGCGCCGCTTTAGCGTCGGTCAGCGCCGATCCAGCGCCGATTTAGCGTCGATTTAGCGTCGATTTAGCGCCGATTCGCAAGAGCCTGCAATATGGTGTGGGAGGCTCCCGCGAGCTGCCACCGAAGCCCCCTGCCCCCCCCCCGGCATCCAACGTCGTGGGGTTCTCACGATACGGCTCCGCACGGTCGGGTCGGACGAGAGCGGGGACGGGACAGGGTGCGACACCTGCTGCATGCACTTACATCGGGCCCGGCCGCCGGGCGCGCTCCTCGATGCACTGGCGCCTCTGGCACCGGGAGGCGCCGGGAGAGCCAGCTGCGTGAGCCGATCTGCGCCCGCTCGCCCGACCCCGGGGGCGTCTTTGTTTATCCGGAGTCTTTTTCCGACGGCCCCAGGTCGGGGGAGCGTAAGACCCGGGTTTGCCAGGACTCGGGTTCGCCATCGTTTTTTGACGACCGCGCCTCGGATTTTGACGAGGAGGAGTTTCGTGGGATGTCTGCAGCGGGAGGCCTCGTCAAAATGCAGGCTCGGCCTCGTCATTTTTTTGACGACCTCGTCGGGGATTTCCGAGTCCCCTGTACCCAGGTCTTACGTCCCCATGACCAGGGCCCGGTAAGGGCACCCGTGGCCCCAGTTCCACAAACCCTCGCATCAGTCCAATCGTGTCGAACAACAGCCTCGCGAAAAAATCACGACCGGGGCCCCGTGCTCCATCTTCAGGCGCCGTCTCTCGAGCTGGATCGATCTGTGAGGGTCGCGCAGCCGAGTGAGAAAACGCCCGTCTCGAAGAAGTCGAGGTGCCAGGATCTCCGGGGACTTGCCGTCGCGATTTCTCGCGACGCGAGGACGGCAGGGTGAAGTTGGGCGTGTCCCTCTACAGGAGGAAAATTCAAAAATGGGGGGACAATAGTCAGGGGACGGTTTTGTTGATTATGTTTTGAGTTTTTGTTGCATTATTTTTGGACCATGCTGTATTTGTCGTCCAGGATCCGCCGGTAGGAGGACACGCCCGACCTAATGGCAGGGCGCGCCGCTCAGCGCCGCCCCTCGAGCTGGCCTCGCCCAGGGCGGGGGGTTCGCGGCGGGCCCCGCGGGGGCGGCGGCCCTGCGCGCCGCGCGCGCGCGCCCATGGGCCAGACGTGCGGTGGTCCCTCGCTGGAGGGCACCTCCGAGGAGATCAGCGCGCAGGCGGGCGCTTCACAGCAAATTTCGGAAGTTCCGCTCGTCTTGGTGGTCGTTTTTTTGATTCCTTGTTTTGTCGATCGGCGCGGGCCCTCGCACCCCCTCCCCCCCCCATTGGAGTAGATCTTGGATGTTTTTTGGTGCCTGTTTTGAGTAGGTGGAGTCACTCCCCCATCGGACGCACTGTTGCAAACAGTGGCGCTAAGCAGAGGTCCAGAGCCAGACCCCCCCCTCCCCCCCTTGCGCCCAATGTCGAAACGCCGAATAAGAACACGCTGACTTTCGGAAGTCTTCGCTCGTCTTTGACTGGATGTACATCGGCGAATCGCGCCCAATGGCGCCAACCAGCTTCAAATGGCATCCAGTGGCGCTCAGTAGCGCCGAGTGGCGTCCAAGTAGCGCCCGCTAGCGACCAATAGCGCCCAACAACGCCATGTGAGGAAGATGCATTCTGTCCGCTTTGCGCCCAGTTGGGCGCGCTATCGGGCGAAACAATTATGTGAGTTGTTCTCTCAGGGTCGGTCGGTCGGCGTCGGTCGGTCCGTCCGTCCGTCGGTCCATCGTCATCGTCGCCGCCGCCGCAGTCGTCGTCGTCGGGATCTTTTTCGTAGTCGTGCGTTTTGGCGTCGTGACCGTCTTGTTGTTCGTAGTCTCTGGAGGAGAGGACAGGACGATGAGGATATGACTGGCTTGGATCGGGTTGTGGCACACAGGCGGAGGGTCACTCCCCGCAATTTGCAATCACCTTTCGGCAGGGGGGATGACGAGCGAAGGAGGAGGAGGAGGATGAGGAGGAGGAGGAGGGGGAGGGGGAGGAGGAGGAGGGGGAGGGAGTTGACTCCTTCTCCTCACCACGTCTTTCTTACACTTTCCTGCGTCCTCCTCCTGAGGGAGAGGAGGCCCTGGGGGACGTTGCAGAAGAGGTATGGAGCGGGCCTGGACAGCACCTGTGCAAGTTGATGCGGTAGGTTCGTGCCGTGCTAACGCGGCGGCGACCACAGCGCGGGCGGTCAAGGTTGAACCATGTCGGTGGATCGGAATCGGCCGACGCCGAAACGTCACGGCATCGGACAACCACGACCGTTCAAGTCCAGAACGATCCACGCGGTGTCGGGAACCAGCGCCGACGTGATCTGGACATTAAATTGCCATCAGTTGTAGGGCTGCTCACACTGATTCGCGACGATTCGATCCCCAAGCTTTGATCTCGATCTCCATCCGATCCGATCCGGTTGGAGCGGAGGCCTTCATTGGCTTGCAGGGGCCGATCCCGCAATATCCGACCCGTTCCCGATCCGATCCGATTTCGCGATTCGATCCAGCTCGGGCCTGTCGGCGGCGAGCGAGGGGGGGAATAGAGAAGGAGAAGGCCTTCTCAGAACGCGGCGGGACTCCTCAGAAGCCCTCGCGCCTCCTGAGAAGTATTCTGCGTCTTCGGGGCAGGCCTAGAACACTTCTCAGAAGGCCAGGGAACTTCCGAGCCTTCTGAGAAGGCCCGCCCTTTCTTACTTCCCTCCCGGGCGCGTTGCCTAATGCAGCTCCGGCCTGAGTGGAGAGCTGGCGTGACCCGAAGGTGGACGCGCTGGAGGCCAAGATTTCAAAGGCCGAGAGGGACCTGCGGCAGTACGTGGTCCTCGGGGCCACCGACCCGGCGGCCAAGCAGAGAGCCCTGCAGCTCATGAGGAGCGCGGCGGACGGAGGAGGAGGAGGAGGAGGAGGAGGAGGAGGAAGACGGGAAACATGAGGAGGACGAGGATGCGGGGGGTGAGAATGAGGATCACGGTGAGGAGGAGGAGGAGGAGGAGGAGGAGGTGGAGCAGGGTGAGTTGGACGATGAGGGTGCGAAGGAGGGGGGCAGGACTACGAAGTGAATGATGATGATGATGATGATGATGATGATGATGATGATGATGATGATGATGATGCTGATGCTGATGCTGATGCTGATGCTGATGCTGATGATGATGATGATGATGATGATGTTGATGATGATGACGATGATGCTGCTGATGATGATGCTGATGCTGATGCTGATGATGATTATTATGATGATAATGAAGATGACGACGATACTGGTAATGATGATGATGATGCTGATGATGATGATTATGATGAGAAGGAGGAGGAGGATGAGGATGATGATGAGGTTGATGATGATTATGATGATGGTGACGACGATAATGCTGATGATGATGATGATGATGATGCTGATGATGAGGATGAGGATGAGGTGAGGGTGAGGGTGAGGATGCTGATGCTGATGTTGATGCTGATGCTGATGCTGATGACGATGACGATGATGATGATGATGATGATGATGATGATGATGATGCTGATGCTGATGCTGATGCTGATGATGACGACGATGATGATGATGACGGTGATGATGATGAGGATGAGGATGAGGATGAGGATGAGGATGATGAGGATGATGAGGATGATGAGGATGAGGATGATTGAGGATGAGGATGAGGATGAGGATGAGGAGGGAGGATGATGAGGATGATGATGATGATGATGATGATGATGATGATGATGATGATGATGATGATGATGATGATGATGATGATGATGATGATGATGATGATGATGATGATGGTGATGATGAAAAAGAGGTGGAGTACATGGGAAAGCATCTTAAGGGTGCCGAGGATGGTGAGAAGGAGGAGGGAGGAGGAGGAGGAGGAGGAGGAGGAGGAGGAGGAGGAGGAGGAGGAAGAGGAGGAGGAGGAGGAGGAGGAGGAGGAGGAGAGAGGAGAAGGAAGGGCATGAGGATGGCTGCGACGAGGACAACGGCGAGGACGAAGTACGACGACGATAGGGAGGAGGATGGCGAGAAGGCGGAGGGCGAGGAGGACCAGCTGCAATAAGAGGAGATAGGGAGAGCAGGAGCAGGAGGAGGAGGGTGAGCAAGATGAGGAGCTCTCGCCGCCCCTCCCTCCTATGACATTTCCTCGGTTTATGTTGTTATCCCTCTTTCCTCGTCCTTATTCTTCTGCTGTCGCAACCTTGTACAGTTAGTTATTCTTCATCCAGCTGGTGGGAACACCCACCTGGCTCACTAGTTTGACTACGCCCACAGGGCCGACCGGCCCGGGGGGGGGGGGCAACGTCAGTACGATATTACTGCCATCAAGCATTCAGGCATTCAGGTGGAGGGTCAGCAGGAGGAGGCTATGGAGGGTTACAGTAAGCCCATCAAGCATAAGACTGGCCTGCCAGCAGACGCCCCACGTAATCAACTCTTCTTCCGGAAGCGACTGGGGACCCACAGGAGGTTTTCTGGCGCCCGAGGAAAGACACATGTGGAAGAGAACTGTGCACCGAGGGTTCTTCAAGCACGAACTGCACAAGGATGAGAATGAGGAGGAGGAGGAGGAGGAGGAGGAGGAGGAGGAGGACGAGGAGGAGGAGGAGGAGGAGGAGGAAGGAGGAGGAGGAGTGTGAGAACGAGAATGAATGGAAGGAAGAGGAGGATGGGGAGGACGAGGAGGAGGAGGCGGAGAAGGAGGAAGAGGGGGAGGAGGCGGATGACGACGATGACGACCACGAGGAGAAGAAGGAGGAGGAGGAGGAGGAGGAGGAGGAGGAGGAGGAGGGTGATAAGGCGGATGAGTGAGGATGGGGGACGAGGTCACGTGCTTCATCCCTCATTGTTCACCTCCGCTGCCCTTCCCCGAACCGTCCGATGGTGGTTGCGGGAGACCCGTGGCATGGAGCGGAAGGGACCTGATTGGGGTGCTACTGTTCGCTGTAGACATTGACATATCGTACGGGAGGGCTGCCGAGCGCTTTCTGGCCTCCAGTTCTGCCAGAGGCACCGAGCCGCTGCTTCTTGTGGGACGATTATCCGATCGATTTCCTGTGCAACAGAAATATCAACCACAATTGTACCTCTCTTTTCCCCCCCGATGTGCTGTCAAGTTGCAGCCACAGGCTTGCTCGAGGCTGCAATCCCCACGACTGGGGCCTTTTTGCGCGCGTCCTCCCAGCCTGCCGACAGGCGAAAGAAGGTGTTCGAGGAGCAGCGTCAGCAGCTGATCGGCGCCCAGTTCAACGTCGATAACCTTGCTGATCAGGAGGAGCAAGCCAAGTTCACCCTGAAGGCGGTAAAAGCCATGCAGGCTGGCCGTGACAAGCTGAAGAAGAACTCGGAGAGGATGAGCTCGAACCAGGTCGACAGGATTCTGGACGACGCCACGGAGCTCGCCGACGAGATGCGGAATATCAACGAGGCGCTGGCCCAGGGCTCCGGGCTTCTGGAGCTGGAGTCGGAGTTCGCGCAGCTGCAGCGGGAGATGATGGCAGACGCGGGCGCCCAGGCCACGCGGGGCGGAGAAGGCGCAGTCGGGCCCCTCGATCTCTTACCCTGCTGACCGATTTTTTGATGCGGGCGCATGCGATCGTGGTCCCCATAACCTTGAGCAGTACGGTCGAGGTATAGCGTCGAGGTCGGCTTGGGGAGGGTACCCTAATGTTCTTCGGGCTCGTTGGACGTTCTAATGTTCTGGGCGGCGGAGGGACTCATGTCCTTGAAGGATATTATCTTGTCCTAGGTCCGACTGTTCCCCCCCGAGACATCTCCCTCTGGCGGGGTAGCCTTCGGAAGGGCGCGGTGACAAGACATCCAATAAGTTCTGGGTTGTTTCAAGACGGAGTCCCCAGAAACCCCGCCCCGTTCCCCAGGGCTGGCTTCTCATCCCGAGTCTTTTTTTGACGTTCCTGGGGCCCAGCGAAAGCCCTCAGAGGCCGGAAGCGGCGAAACGCGACCGTCTTCAGCTCGTTTGGAAGACGTTGGATGTCTCGGGGGGCCGAGGGGGAGGAGGACGCGGAGGAGGAGGAGGAGGAGGAGGAGGAGGAGTAGGAGGAGGAGGAGGAGCGTGGAAGAGCATTTGGACGAGGATGAGAAGGACGACAGGGAGGAGGTGGAGGAGGATGGGGAGGAGCAACGGCGGCGGCGACGGCGGATGGCGAAGGAGGAGGAGGGCGATGGCGAGGAGGAGGAGGGCGACGGCGAGGAGGAGGGCGACGGCGAGGAGGAGGAGGAGGACCAGATCAAGCCCATGAAGCATCACTGATACCGATGCTGCAGTACATTCTCCCGTCCCAAGTCCGCCTTCAGAAGGATCGTACAGTTTCACGGTGTGTTCAGTGATAGCACCGTCTTGACAAGGAACCGCCTCTCGTCCGTTGCCATACTGACATGTCTGGGGGGACGCACAGCCAGGAGTTACCAAGAAGGGGCAAGAGTTCGAGAACGTGGAGGAGAATAAGGATGAGGATGAGGATGAGGATGGGGATGAGGATGGGAACGATGATGAGGATGAGGATGAGGATGAGGATGATGCTGATGATGATGCTGCTGCTGATGATGATGATGATCATGATGATGATGATGATGATGATGATGATGATGATGAGGATGAGGATGCTGCTGCTGCTGATGATGATAATGATGATGATGATGCTGATGCTGATGCTGATGCTGATGCTGCTGCTGATGATGCTGATGATGCTGATGATGACGATGCTGATGATGCTGGTGAGACTGATAATGATGATGATGATGATGATGATGATGATGATGATGATGATGATGATGATGATGATGATGATGATGATGATGATGGTGGTGGTGGTGGTGGTGGTGGTGATGATGATGATGATGATGATGATGATGATGATGATGATGATGATGATGATGATGATGATGAGGATGAGGATGAGGATGAGGATGATGATGATGATGATGATGATGATGGTGGTGGTGGTGATGATGAGGATGAGGAGGAGGAGGAGGAGATGTGATGCTGATGCTGATGCTGATGCTGATGCTGATGATGATGATGCTGATGATGATGATGATGATGATGATGATGATGATGATGATGATGATGATGATGATGATGATGATGATGATGATGATGATGATATGATGATGATGATGATGATGATGATGATGATGATGATGATGAGGAGGAGAGAGGAGGAGGAGGAGGAGGAGGTGGAGGAGGAGGAGGAGAGGAGACGAGGAGGTGGAGGAGGAGGAGGAGGAGGAGGAGAGGACGAGGAGGAGAAGGAGGAGAGGGGAGAAGGAGGAGGGAGGAGGGAGGAGGAGGAGGAGGAGGAGGAGGAGGAGGAGGAGGAGGAGGAGGAGGAGGAGGAGGAGGAGGAGGAGGAGGAGGTGTGTGAGAGGGCTCCGCCCCGCCGCGCCTCCGTAGGCCGCCCAGGGTGCGCCGATGGCCGCGCGGAGCGCCTCGGGGCACCGCGAGCAGCTGGCCGCCGGCGCGTACGGGGCCGCGCCGCCCGTTGGCGCGTACGGGGCCGCGCCACCCGCCGCCGCGGCGCGGAGGGAGCACAAGCCGTGGGAGGTCCGCCGCCTGGCACGGAACGGTTTTTGGACGAGTTCAAGTCTAGCGCCGTCAATCAAGGGAGGAGCAGGTTTCCACACCGCTACCGTTCCCTCGTTCTCCCCCTCTTGTGCCTCCTGGGAGGCCCTCGTCTCCACCGCTGGATTCGCATCGAGATTCCGGTCCGAAGGCACCCCGGGAGAGGTCTGGGGAGTAGCGTTAATGGTATTTGTTGGTATATATCCCAAGTCCATTTTGTTCGCGTCATGAGGGCTTTGTATTGGCGAGGCGGCCATGGCCAACACGGGGTCACATATCCCCGTTTCACGGGGCCAACATGGGTCACACCATCCCCGTTGGGAACCCGAGGGCCCCCCCCCGTGGCTTCCGAGAGGGGTCGCACAACACTCCCGCCAACACGGGTGTATGACTGCCGCAAGTCGGCAACGTTACAAAATGGGAGCGGCCATATGCGATCGGGAATTCTGGGATGGCGTGTCGCTCCGCCGGTTCTGGCCAGCCGCGTTTCGGCGCGACACGCTGTCCATTTCCTCGTCCCCGGGCGTCGACGTCCCGAGCCTTCCCGAGCTTCTCGCCCCGCGGACGGAGCGACACGCTAAGCGTTTGCAAGGCATAGCGTGTCGCAGGGGCCGCCTCCGCGACAAAATTAAGCAACAGCTCCCGACCGTGGATCGGTTTTGGAGCGAATTCGAAACATCGTTACCGAATAAAGTTATTTCCCAAACCGCTACTGAACGAATTCAAAGAACGTTATCTCAAGTTGAAGTTGTTCAACATCAGTCATGTATTGTTGTTTGGTTTTGTGGGTTCACCTGGCTGCAGACGTCTTTCACATTCCCAGCCCCAGCCGGTTTTTCAGACATCTGGCCTGCAGGTGTAGGGCTCACATGTGGTTGCGTACGGTAGGTTCGTGTCGTGCCGACGCGGCAGCGAGCCCGCCGCGAGCGTAATGCCGCCAGTGCCCCAGAACCGGCCAATATGGAACGATCTGGCGATGGACAAGCCGCCGATCGCTCCAGTTTTGAAGGATCCACGAGCTGTCAGAAACGAACGCCAGGGTCGTGACGACACGAACCTGCCGTACTCTTTCTGCCTCGTGCGCGCCCTCGGGCGCCGAGAGGCATGCGCAGGCACCGTTCCTGGCCTGGCCCATCCTGGGCCCAGGATCGGCGCGTATGCCTCCCTCGCCGAGCAGGGATGGCGTGTGCGCCGATCCCTTCAACCCTCGTCGAAATTGAACGCAAGTTTTTTCCACCCCCGTCGCCCTCAAATTTCAATGTTCATCGACGGGCGCATCGCGGCCGGCGGGGTCCGAAGAAAATGTCGAAGTCGCCGGCGTCGGCGTGAACGTTGAAATTGGGGGGGTCGGGGGGCGCCGCCAGGTCGCGGCTAAAACTTGCGTTCAATTTCGACGAGGGATGTGGGCCCGGGGTGGGCCTGGCCAGGATCGCTGCCTGAGCGTGCTGCTCTCCGTCCCCTTGGCGCCCTCCGGGTGGCTCCAGAGGCCCGTGTTCGGGTGTTCGGCCTCCTCGCCGCCAGGGCCCGGGGTGGGCCTGGCCAGGATCGGTGCCTGCGCGTGCTGCTCTCCGTCCCCCCCTTGGCGCCCTTCTCGGGTGGCTCCGGAGAGGCCCGCGTTTTCGGCCTCCCTCGCCGCCAGGGCCGTGGCGCGGAGGGGCTCTCCGTCCCCCCTGCCCTCCCCTGCCGCCTTCCCCCCCCCCCACCTCCGCGGGGCGCCCGCCCCGGCCAGGGGGACCGGGAGGAGGGGGAGGAGGGAGGGAGGGAGGGGAGGGGAGGGGAGGGGATGGGAGGGAGAGGAGGAGGAGGGGAGGAAAAGGAGGAGGAGGAGGAGGAGGAGGAGGCAGGAGGCAGGAGGGCGGAGGGCGGAGGGAGGAGGGTGAGGGAGGATGAGGAAAAGGAGCAGACTTAAGGTCCGCAGCTCGAAGGCTCGAAGGAGGAGGAGGAAGAAGAGGAGGAGGAGGAGGAGATTGAGGAGGGTGGAGGGATGGAGTCAGGGGCAACGAGAGCGGGGGAAATGTTAGGGGGGTGCGTGCGTGTGCATATGCGTGTGCGTGTGCATGTGCGTGTGCGCGTGTGTGCGTGTGTGCGTGTGTGCGTGTGTGCGTGTGTGCGTGTGTGCGTGTGTGCGTGTGTGCGTGTGTGTGTGTGTGTGTGTGTGTGTGCGCGTGTGCGTGTATGGTAAATCAACCCCCAGCCGCCTATTGATCTCCGACGGGGGCCTGGGTACCCCAACCGCCCCGTGAACTTGCGGCTTCGCTATCGGGGCATGTCGCCGATCTGTCAGCGATGTGTCGCCGATTCCAGGTCGATGGCCGCCCCCCCCCCCCCTGAGCTGGTCCCCCTCTTTCGTTCCCCCGCAGGGAGGAGGGTGGCGGAGGCAGGAGGAGGAGGAGGAGGAGGAGGAGGAGGAGGAGGAGGAGGAGGGGAGGAGGAGGAGGAGGAGGAGGAGGAGGTGGCTGCATGAGCAAGGAGGGAGTTCGTGTGGTGGTGGGAGCGGTGGCATGAACATAGCAGTCGTGCTCACAAGGAGGGAAGGATAAGGGGGGAGGGCAGATGAGAAGGAGGAGGGTGGAGCAGGAGGGCGGAGGGGGGGAGATGGGGAGGTGGGCACATGAGCAGGATCCCTACGGGCTTGCCGACTCCCCTCCGGTCGTTTTTGCGGGGGATCAGGCTGGATAAATCGAGGCATCGCGCCGACTTCGGCCAGGGGTGGCCCTATACCCTTCTGTTCCCCGCTCGCGCCTTGGCGAACCACGCCGACGTCGAGAATGGATGCCCGCGCGCAATATGTGGCGTTCCAACAACAAATGAGGAAAATCAGGAGGCCTCACGCGGCGCGTAATAGCTGCATTATCTAGTCCACACGTCAGCTCTGTTAGCTATGGGGCGACGCTGGCGCGGCGATGCTCCGGCGTCAGTCCGACGTAGATCCGACGTAATTCCTCGCAGTCCGACGTAAACCCGACGTGAATAAATCGGGTCTCAAGTTGCCGCGCGAGGCCTCCAGGATTTTCCTCCTAACGAAAAAGGGCCGTGCGCGCGAGGATCGAAGGAGTTGCCATCTGTTCCTCGGCGGAATGCGGCGGAAGGGCGGCGGAAGTGAAACGAGGCCGCCTCCGCCAGCGGAGGCTGGCGGAAGCTCGGCGGAAGCCGGCGGAAGCAAGAATCGGCATCCCAAGGGATGACAACATGCTTGTTTTCGAGAGCGGTCATATAAAGCGAGGCCAGGCCAGGTACCTAATCTGGAACAGGCCGTGGAGGCTCTGGCGTGAGCCGAGGGACCTCAGAGGCCGGTCAAGCCCTCAAAACGACCAGAGAGAAGCGCCCGGGCCCGTGAAGCCGTGAAGCACGTCTTCTCGGCCGCGAGCGAGGGGGGGGAAGTGGGAAGAAGAAGAAGAAGACCTTCTCAGAAGGTTCACAAGGTTTCTAAGCCTGCCCTTGAAGACACAACAGAACCGTTCAGAAGGCGCGAGGGGTTCTGAGAAGTCCCGCCGCCTTCTTAGACGGCCTTCTCCTTCTCACTTCCCCCCTCGCTCGCCGCCGATCTTCAGGGAAACGTGAGACTCGAGTATGCCGGAACTCGGGTTTGCCGACGCTTTCTCACGAGCGCGCCCTGGACTTTGACGCTCCAGTTTTGTGGGACGTTTGCAGCGAGAGCTCGCGTCAAATGTCAGGTCGGGTCTCGTCATTTTCAGGACGGGCCTGTCAGGCCAACCCGAGTCCCCCGCACCCGAGTCTTGCGTCTCCCCGAGCCATGTGGCGCTCCCGGCAGTGCCTGGGCTCTTGCTTGGCGCGGGGCCGCCAGCTGCAGGGCCTGGCCAGGCCTCCGATCCCCGACCACTTCAGAGGAGGACGAGGCACCGATGTCACCACCCTTGCCCCGTTCTCGCCTTGCTGGGCCTCCTGGGAGGCCCTCGTCGCCGCCGCCGGATTCGCCTCGAGATTCTGGTCGGAACGCAACCCGGGAGAGGTCCGTGGGGTAGCGGTATCGGCACACTCTAGTTTCCGCGCTGTTTGATTTCCGGAGGGGTGTCGCGGGGGGCGCCGCGGCGAGACGCTGAGCAAAAGTTCCCGACCGTAGGATCGCCCCTGCCATCCGCAGATCTGCGACCACAGGCGAACCCTGCTCCTATTGGTGCAATCGTCGCTGGGGTATCGGACGCCCCCGCTGGGTCTCGCCTGGCTGCAGGCACCCTTCGAATTCTGAGCCCCAGCTGGTCTGTCGCAGCATGACATGCAGGGGTAGGGCTGACCTGTGGCTGCTTCACAGGGGGTGGGACGCTCTGCGTCGACAGAAGGATTCGGTAGCACATCGTGGGAGCCTTGTGTGCCCTCGTAAACCCGTCTTTCGGGTGCCCTAGCGTCGAGTAGTGTTCGGTGATCGATGAGATAGCGCCGATTCAGCGTCGGCTAGCGTCGATGAGCGAAGAATGAGCGTCGTCCAGCGTCGATTCGCAAGGGCCAATAAGATGGCATGGAATGCCCCCATGAGTTGTCGCCGACGGAAGGCCTCGTTCCCGCGCCCGCCCCCGCGACGCAACTCTCCCACGCATTCTTGCACGCAGGCTCGCGTGTGCTCGTCCAGACCTTGCCACAGCGCAGGGCGCGGCTGCTCGTGTGTCTCTGCGCCCGCCCCCGCGGGCCCGTGGACAGGTCCCGGCTCCGCCGCCGCCCCCGCCTCCGAGGCGCGGCGAGGGCGTCTCGCGAGGCGGCCGGCGGCCGCGCGGGCCGTCGTCGTCGTCGTCGTCGTCGTCGTCGTCGTCGTCGTCGTCGTCGTCGTCGTCGATCTGTCGTCGTCGTCGTCGTCGATCTGTCGTCAATCGTCGTCCGTCTCTCGTCCTCCGTCGTCCGTCTGTCGTCTTCCGTCGCCCGTCGCCCGTTGTCCGTCCTCGTGTTCGGAGGCTCCCGGGCGTTCCTTGGGGTGTTACTCGTCGCGGCTCGGCGCAGGTCGAAAGGTCGGCCAGGATGGGCCCCGGAAGGGGTCTGGCGACCGATCTGTGAGCGGGTTGTCGCCGTCGTCGTCGTTATTGTGGTCGCCATGGAGGTCGTCGTTGCTGTTGCCGCCTAGGCCGTCGTTGTCGACGTTGTTTGCGTCATTGTCTCACCTGACGTCGACGATCACGACGACGATGACGACCTCCAGGAGCAGGGGGTGCAAGGGGGGGAAGAGTAACGTAGATGTCGGCCTCACGATTCTGTATTTTGCGTGGCGTCGAGGAGATGTCAGGACCCCCTCTCCCTGGTTTGGCGAGGTAGGGGAAAAGGGTCACTTCAACTTCAAGAATCAAGTTGTAATTTAGTGTGATATTTTGCATGATGTTGCGTTGCGATGTGTTGTGTGAGTTGGTGCGTCGGTGTTTGTGTTTATCTGTTGGCTGTGCTTGCGCTGGCATTTGCTTGAGTAAGAAGTGGAACTTGTTGAACAATATTGTGTTTGCTGGGCGAAAACGGGACAGCGAAAGCAACGACAACAGCAGAAACAATAACACTTTATCACAATGTGCATAACACAACCCTTTCGGGCTTCAGTTGCAATACTTTCAATTACGCATTGACAATACCAAGGTTTCGGTTTATACTTCAGTATTTTACAAACAACTAATTATACATGTTTGCTGCTGATGTTTATATTGTGTTAGCACTTTCTGGTTTATCTCTGATGTGAGAAATCGAGGTGGGTACAAAACAAACTGGAAGCATGGGCAACACAGGCAACCTGGAACAATCACGTAACACAAAACGACACCATTGGTCTCCCAAGAGCAAGAACGTGACATCAATCTACCACTTAGGTTGTGATTGCTCTTTCTGAGTAAAAGGCAAAGTATGTTAAAGCTGCGTTATAGTATTTGTTGATGTTTCTGCTATTTGTGTGTGTGTGTGTGTGTCTTATCGTTTTTCTTGCGTTCGCCCACCATTATACCAGACGTCGTTGTCGTCTTCCTTGTAGTTGCCTGGCGTTGTCGCCGTCGTCTCCGTGTCCATTGTCGTCGTCGTCGTCGTCGGCCGATGGTGGCAATCTTGAAGCGTTCTTGTAAATCTGATTCTAGTAGGGGTCGGTATTCGAGCCCTCGCTGGGCTGTTTATTTGGTTTGGGCTGCCTGGGCTTCGCGTTCCAGGGAACTGTTTCTTTGTGGTTCCTTAGCGGGGAGTGGGAAGAAACGTTTCCAAACATCAGCTTCTGCCGTCTCAGATGGTTTTGTTCCAATCGCACGTCTAACTATGCTGCTGCTGTGTCTCCTCCTCATCCTCTGTCTCCACCGCCTTCTGTTCCCCCGTTCCTGAGTAAGCTGAGTTCGCTGGTGCCTCTAAGTGCACATGCAGGCATAGGGATCGCACCATACCGGCACTACTTGCGTGAAGATTGCGAGCACGGAGAAGGAGCAAACAAACGCGGAGCAGCGCAAATGGACACCAGGAACGACGCCAAAAACGCAAACATAGAATGCAGTGCGCGATCGGCGGCTGACGCATCCACCACTTGCCCAATTTGTGCGCGGATCGGACACAGCGCGCGCCCAACATGTGAGCAACATGGCTTACACATAACTTGCGTAGACGCGGGATCCGATAATCGCACAACATCGGAAGGCGATGCGACACCACACTTATGTCTCCCTCTGTCCCTCCTTTTGAAAAGGAAGCTGCCATTCCGACACCATGCCCGAAGCGCCGAGTGCCGCTGGAATGCCTCAAGCTAAGCTGCAAACCTGGGGGATGCTCGGACGAAATCGCGCCCTCCGCTGCCCAGTAGAACAGGCACGTGTAAGCGCCCAGCAAAACGTTAGTCACATTCTCTTGATTCCGAAACGTACAGGGTCACCGCAAAGCAGGTCAGAGCAAGGAGGATGAAACCGACCACATGTTTGAAGTCGCGCCGACCAGCCGCTTTGCTTCACGCAAGACCTTGCAGGTCGGGGATTCGCAGCACGCCAACGATGTACTTCAAGGCTTTGCCTCCCATGGGTTCCAGGCGGGCGCGATGCGCGTTTCTACTTGGTTTTGGAGCGGCAGCGTTGCCATCTCTCTCACTCCAGGACGCCGGCAACAGCTCTTGGCCGCGCCCTTGCGATCCGCTGTGCTCCAGCAGCAGTGGTCACAAGGCCACGGCGCCCCTGCGTTGCGTGAGCCACGACGACAAGCGCGCACGTCGCGGGCCACGCGTCGGAGGCGCGCCGGCTCTGACGCGCTGAGCGACGCTGACCTGGTGCAGGAGCTTGGCCAGATGCTCGGTGAAGGAGTTTGTCGCAGACGGCCACCACAAAAGGCTCGCGTCCTCTGCTCTCGCTGGAAGAGGGCGCCTTCCCCAACGGATTCGGCGGACGTTGGCCGCCGCACCTGCGGCTGGCTCGCGGTCGCCGTTCCAAGCTCGCGCAGGATCGGCACTGTGCGCGAGCAACGTCGTCCCGAAAATAATGAGTCGGATTCCTGGCGCGTTCGGGCTATGTCCGGCCCCTGTGCTGAAAGGCCAACTGCCTCGTCATGGGCCAGGCGTTTCTCCGAGCCATTAGCGCCCATGAAGGAGAAGTGCAAGCAGTTGAAGTGTGACGTGGTCGACACATGCCGCGTATGAGACCGCGTGGGCACGTGCAAGTGCAATCCGCACCGCGCTGATCGACTGGAGCGCTTCTTTCGCGGTGTCAGCAGCTCCATCGCTAAGATTTCCTTTGTTTCTTGATTCCGCGGCGACGCGCGCAGCTCGAATGCGACGAGCGCGCGGGGGGCCGCTTGTTCAGTATTCCGCGCAGCTGCATTCTCTGTGCACAGCGGCGACGCCAGCCATTTGAGCAAGCTCGCGGTGGTCAAGGCGGTCAAGGAGGTGCCCCACTTCTACCCGCGCGCGCCGAAGCGCAGGGGAAAGTTCGCCGCGGCCAAGATGCGCGATTCCACGGCTGCGCGTTCTGACACGAGTCAGACTGAGACGACGGCGAAGAAATTCCCCCGGAAGATGGGCGCCAAAGCATGATTGCCGCTCGCGCGCAATTTGTTTGCACAGTGGCAGGTAAGTGCAAGGTGGCACTCTAAAACAACGGTGCGTTCCAGAGCTCGCGCAGTGAAGCATGGGGGCAGGGGCGGTGCTACGAAGCCGAACGCACCTTCAATATGTCGCGAACGATCTGAGAAGAAAGACGCGCGCAATCGCGGGAAGCCACGCGACATCGCTGGACAACGAAGGAGATCAACATATTGTGCGGCGGTGTCGGCGACGACGATGGCGACGATGACGGTCATGGCGAGGGCGATCATAAGGCCAGGTTGATGATGACGATGATTCTGACGAGTTTGGAGGTGGCGGGGGGGGGGGGGCGGGGGCTTCCCGCGCCCGAGCCCAAAAGTTGGCCCGCCTATCCCTCCAGACCTGAGGTGGCAGCCAAAGGCCCTTGCGGAATTCCGTCTCGCGATATCTATCCCGGGAGAGGGGCCCCCGGGCGACTCCCATGAAAGGGCCTTTCGGGTTTTCCATGCCAGATATGTGCCGCCAGAAGGATGCTCTTCGCGATTCTGGACAAGTTTCCTACCTACCTTGTGATGGGGAGAGGCCCGGCGTATGGTCCAGGGCCTTGGACGCGACGGGGTCTAACCTACGGTAATGCGAACGCCCTGGGGGGCTTCCTGCGGGGCCACATGGTGGCTAGGAGTGGGGCGGGGTCCGCCCCGCGGACTGCCTCGCGCCATTCGATGGCGCGTCTTCGGTCGATCGTGATTTTTCTGTCGGGCAACCGTGAAGAAAGGAGATTTCGGGGTCAATGGGTCCTGGGTTTTTTTTTCCGTTTCTGGTTTCCCGGGGCCCTATTGGGGCAGTTTGGCCGCCCGAACATGAGCGCCCTGCTGGGGGGCCCGAGCACGTGAAGGCGCGAACCCAACGGGTTGGAACTGAGGGGAGGGGTTCGCAGAAGGGCGCGGGCGCGCGCGTGGGACGGACGGGGCGACATTGCTGACGGGGTCGCAGCGATCAGCCGCAACGGGTTACGCCTGGATGTGGCCCGCCACGGGCGATTTGCGAGTTCGTTGGCGCGGTCTTTGGGGGCGGCCGGCGGCGGGGTTTTCGCCGGAGTTCTTGCGGGGCCGCGAAGCGTGCGAGTTGTGCGGCGACATGGGCGTGGTCACGCGCGCTCGTTCTGCCACTGGGGCCTTCGGCGGGAATCCCTATTGCGGCGTCGAAGCGCGCGAAGGGTGCGTCAAAATGCGCGCGGTCGCGCACGCGATTCCTGCCGCCGGGGTTGTCGTTGTAGTTCTCTGGGGGGTCACGACGCGCATGAGGGTTGCGCCGACATTGGCGCGGTCACGCGTCGCTTCCTGCAACGAGGGCCTTGGGTGGAGCCCCGCAGGGTGCGCCGCGATGGCGCGGGGGGGGGTGGGGGGTGGGCGAGCGCAGCCACTGGCGCGCCGCGAAAAGATGCAGCGCCCCGAAATGGCGGATGAGAGCGAGTGGGCGGGCGCGGGTTGGGTCGCGGATGGGTCGCTGGCGAGTCGCGGGAGGGTCGCGGGGTGGGTCGTTGGTGGGTTGCGGGGTGCGTCGCGGGTTGGTCGCGGATGGATCGCGGGTGGGTCGCGGGTGGGTCGCGGGTGGGTCGCGGGCGGGTCGCGGGCGGGTCGCGTTGTGCGTCGCGGGGTGCGTCGCGGGCGGGTCGCTGGCGGGTCGCGGGGCGCGTCGCGGGCGGGTCGCGGGCGGGTCGCGGCGCGGGTCGCGGGCGGGTCGCGGGCGGG